ACACCCATATGAAACAGATGCCACATCATGTAGACAGACAGTCACCCTGTGTGAGGCAAACCCACATTTGCGCAGCGTTGCGTTCACAATAGCTTACATTAAAAAAAAAAAATCGCTAGGCCATCGGGAAACCTCCCGGCCCTCCCGATGGCCAGTCCGGGCCTGCCAGCAGCCCTCTACTTGCTACAAACTTAAATATGAAAACATAGCCGTGGGAACATGTTTCAAATGGGGGGTGCTGTGGGGATGACACCAGGGCCGGTTCTGACCCATTTGCTGCCCTAGGCAAGATTTGTGCTGGTTCATTTATATCTTATTTTACCAGTTAACATTTATTTATTCATCCATATTTTTTAATCTCTCCAGTTTTAAAGGATATTGTTGGTTTACTGTCCTATAGTATACATGTGCCAAGAGCAAGGACTGTCTTAGGTAAGACAGCTTTTATGTGCGCAGCTCCACTTGCTTGGAACAATCTTCTTCCTCTGCATGTTTGTAAAGCTAGGCTAAATGAAATGCTCGTTGATACTATGGGTACTTGTAAATGTCTATAACTATGTAAATGTATCCTGTAAATATAATGTATGATGTCCTTTATTGTTTTATGTTTCATGTGGAACCTATATGCTGCAGGTCTCCCTTGAAAAAGAAATCTATGATCTCAATGGGACCAATCTGGTTAAATAAAGGTTTGAAATGAAATGAAATGACATTGGAATGATTTCAAACCTGTTTTTATTTATTCTAATAATTATAAAGGTGTGCCTTGGAAATATTTGTTTACATAAATTGTGATAAAACCGTTTGAGACACACTGAGATAACTTAGACTAAAGTGAACTATCTAAACACTCAGAGTCCTTTACCTCACTGAGCCTCTCAGGGCAAATGGAAAATGTAACCGGGGTGAAAAGGGTGTTACCTTTACTTAATTATGAATGTGAACAGTTGCATCAACAGCTTTTACAATGTGCTGCTGACTGCTGGAAAGTGGTTTTACTTGAATGTATTTGTTTCGTCCATTGTGCTAATGCAGGTGGGGCCGACCAGTTATACAAGAGGTAGATAATAGCTGTACTTTTTTTGAGCCACATGCCATGATGCACCAACATAATTGTATTATTTAGACTGACATTAAGAAAGAGAGAGAGAGAGAGAGGATATCAGACAAAGTGATATCAGACAAAGTGATATGAGTGATAGCGAAACGTTTTAACTTTCATTTAGCAAAAAATAGCATGAAACTTTACATGCAAGTTCCAAAGTAACTTCCTGAAATGTAATTGTCTGCGGTGATTCTACGGAGTCCCCAAAGGCCCAAAATTGTGCACACAAAACATATTTCCGGCTGCCCGGGCCTAAGGAAGTAGCTCTACTTATGAAATCTCTGTTAGTTTAAACTCCCACTTCACTACTTTACATTCAAAACAAATAGCTTATAAAATGTGGCACGGCATTATTGATAAAGCTACATATTAGTCTATAAAATAGTTACATCATACTTATCTTAACCAGCAACACCAATAAAATACTGCTTCACATAAATGCATCGCAAATAATCATCAGTTTTTATTCAATGCATATAGAGGCAACTGAACCACACATCAACATGTCATCCATGCATTTCTTCACTTGTCAGTAGTTGTTCAAGCTCTCAAACAAACAAGCGGGCAGTACATCACATCGGCTCTTTTTGCTGCTACTTTGACAACATGGTTGCAACCGGTTTTGTTTTCGTGCTGTTGATGCCAATTTTCATTTTTTTATATAGTGAGTTGATGATTTCATAAACTAAGAGTGAGGTACATTTTCGCCTCGCAAATTTTCCATCCAAATGAAGCAACATTTCTAAATCATTTTCAGACAAATTTGACTACACATGTTAGTGTTGTTGGATCTTATTGTCTTATATTTTTGTACAGCACTTTGAATTGCTTTGTGTTGAAAGGTGCTCTATAAATGCCTAGTGATGACTCACAATCTACTAGGATTAATAAATGTCCAAAGTGTCTATTACGTTAGTAGGAAATCCGACGTAGAGCAATTGAGCATTGGAATAGAACATGTTGTTCCATACGGCCCAATGAGAACAAACACGAGGCAGAATCTAAACAGGAAAGTGTAAAAACATGTTGAATCATTAAACATCTGACAGAACAAGAACAAGACACAACTAGTTTTTGTTTTTCTAAAAACAAAACAATGAGGTAGATACTAGCTGTCATTTTTTTTAAGGAGGGGCAGTTTGGGCGTATTGTTGTACATAGCCGCGGGAACATGTTTCAAATGGGGGGTGCTGTGGGGATGACACCAGGGCCGGTTCTGACCAGTTTGCTGCCCTAGGCAAGATTTGTGCTGGTTCATTTATATCTTATTTTACCAGTTAACATTTATTTATTTATCCATATTTTTTAATCTCTCCAGTTTTAAAGGATATTGTTGGTTTACTGTCCTATAGTATACATTGGAATGATTTCAAACCTGTTTTTATTTATCCTAATAATTATAAAGGTGTGCCTTGGAAATATTTGTTTACATAAATTGTGATAAAACCGTTTGAGACACACTGTGATAACTTAGACTAAAGTGAACTATCTAAACATTCAGAGTCCTTTACCTCACTGAGCCTCTCAGGGCACATGGAAAATGTAACCGGGGTGAAAAGGGTGTTATCTTTACTTAATTATGAATGTGAACATCAAGGCCGAAAATAAGTTTTTTTTGTATTATATTTGTATTATATTTCCATTTAATCTTGTGGACGTGCAGATTCCCTGTCCTCCATCAGGGGGTGCTGCAGCACCCTCAGCACCCCTACTTACCACGGCCATGTATGAAAAGGTTCAACTACGCACACACACATCATCTCGGCTCGCGCAGCACGCTCACAGGCATAGATTGTGCAATAAAGTATTGCGCACCTTGGAGGTGCAGCGCAGGCATATTGTTATTCAAGAGATGCGTTGTTCTTTTGGAAAACATGTTTTTCTTTTCAATAATACTCATTACATTGACACATGCATTATTTGTGATTAAAATAATGGTTGTTGGTAATGTATTAGCGACCCCCACAGATGTATGATTTCACTGCGTCCGTGGGAGCTCAGACCCCTCCTTATGGGAGCTCAGCTCCCATTGGCTCCCAAATAACTCGAACCCTGCTGACTCTAATCCACTTCCGTAGTTGCACTTATAAAGGGAAACAATGGCCTTAATGAGTCTAACTGGTCACAAAAACCAAACATTTTTAGATTTGTAGGGTTTTAGATTAGGACCTGGTCCAATGTGGTCGAGATAAAAAGCACTGAAATCTCCCTTTTTAAAATGTTCACAAATAGAATTAAGGTTTCACAAATCTCAAACTGTGTTATAAAGAATGTTTAGCCTCTCTGGGATAATCCAGTCCAAATAAATCGGCTATGCAGCGATTTAAGAGGTTCAAACACGGAGGATTGTTCGCTCAGCGCTGTAAATGAAATGTCCCTTAACTTTCCCCTTAACTGCCGAATCGGAAGCTCTGAATCGGAAGCCAACTTCAGCGTCGTCAGGAACGCTGTGATCCGAAGAGGGTTATTCCATCTTTCTATCCATCAATAATGTCACTCTGTTATCACAATGCTATTCTAATCCAAGCACCTTTCAAATTGCAGCTTAATAAAATGTTTTAAAGAGGATCTATATTCCTGTCTGCAGTCCTAAGGCAACTTTCTCATTTTAACAAAGTCTTCAATGTTCTTACCTAATTTGATAAACAGTCATATGATCATAATTACACAAATAGCCTACTTTTGTTTTATATTTGTGTAAATGTGGTCATATGACTGTATTTTAAAACACAGTGTATTTAAGCTCTTAAAGAAACTATTTGGGCTGGGTGGCGCTCTATAGTTTAGGGCCAATAGGAGACCTCGATGCCTTCTTTCCCCTCCTCCTCATTAGCATTATGTGCAACTAGTGTGACTAGTGAACATTTTGAGCCTCACTAGTTCACTAGTGGAATTTAAATGTATCTCACTAGTGAACTAGTAAAGGGCAAAGGGTTCACTAGTTAACGTGTAGACATTTTGAGCCCCACTAGTTAACTAGTAAGGTCAAACGAGGTGTCAACTAGTTAACTAGTGAACCTTTTGCCTTTACTAGTTAACTAGTGAGTGATTCTGGGTGCTACTAGTTAACTAGTGCAGACAAATGTATGCCACTAGTTAACTAGTTGTGCTTCTTTTTTGTAACTAGTTAACATGTCAGAGCTTTTGCAGCGCACTAGTTAACTTGTAAGACTTTTAGCGTCACTAGTACGGTCAGAGGGCCACTAGTTCATCAAAAAGCTTACAAGTTGGGACTTTGGTGCTACTAGTGCTGCTCCTGGCGTCACTAGTAAGGCTTATGTGCTAACTAGTCGGACAAAAGTGCCACTAGTTGCTGAAAAAGAGTGACTAGTGTAATGTTTTATTTAACTAGTAAAGCAGAGTGCCAAACTAGTTTGACCATATATCTAACAAGTGAAATCAAAGAGCCAACTAGTGCAGGCAGCTGCCGTCTGATATCAAGGATATGGAATAAATACTCAAATGGCTTGCCATATGCGTGTGAGTAAGCAGGTGGTGCCCGGTAGCTGATTGGCTGCCCTCGACAGGCTGATTGGTCCACCTGAGGAGACGGGAGCATTTAAGCTGCAACCGTGCAGTTCCTCATCAGACAGTTACAGAGGCTGTCTAACTCCATGTTCAATGAAGATTCCCACCCCCTGCAACCTGAGCTTCAGCTTCTTCCTTCGGGCCGGAGGTTAATCTCCCTAAAGGTGTAGAACCAAGAGGTTTAAAAACAGCTTTCTGGATGTTCTGGAGCCAGAGGGACTTTTTAAAGATGTGTCTGTTGTCTATATTGTATGAAGCATGTGTCACAATGGATACCTTTTCTTACTTCTGCAAACCAAGTTGACCTACTGGTACAAATAAGTACCATGAGAGAAATAAGAGAGTGACTCAGCCGGCAACCACACACCTGGTTCTGGTCTCTGGCAGTAAGCTGGTTACTGGACACAGAGCTGGGTCCAGGTCCAGGTCCAGGTCCAGGTCCAGGTCCAGGTCCAGGTCCAGGTCCAGGTCCAGGTCCAGGTCCAGGTCCAGGTCCAGGTCCAGCAGAGTGTGGTGTTTGCTATGGGCTTGAAGAGACACAGAGCTTTGAGTGAATAATGAGTGCTGAGCTGTGACATGGAGAAGAGTGATGGACAGGTGGAGATGTCATGTTCCCCAGAGCTTTTAGAGGGGGGGGCTTCCTCCTCTCTGTCCTCACTCTGATCCATAGCAGAGCCCCCACCTTCGCACAAACACAACAACATGCTCATTCATTACCACAAGCTTTACATCACAGGTAGCCCCTCCTCTCAGATATTCAGGAACCTTGTTGGAGCCTCAACAGGACCGGATCAGCCCAGAATGTTCCCCACAGCCCCAGAACCACACAGAAACCCAGTGTGTTGACCCCTAAATATGTGTTAGTGTGTCGCAGTGTATCACAGCACACACAAACAGTCACTTCAATGTACATCCACAGGTAATGTACAGCCCAGCCCCCCACAAGATATCCCACACAACTGAACTGCGCTCAGTAACCATTCAATAAAACTTCTTTGTTAGGTTTAGAAAAACATAATTTTTTGGCTTCAAATATGTACGTTAATTACATGAAAGCAGTTACGGGCTTTAATTAAAATGAGGTCTTTTGTGAACTGATAAGAAATGTGTTTTTGATATATCATTGAAAATAGGAAAAACAAGTTCCCTGATAACTAAATTACAATGAGGTTCAAATCTAGGGGAAGAATATTTTTTAAATTTGATATAATCTCCCATTTATTTTTCATGCTAATGTTTTGTATAGCCCAACATATATATCAAAACATGTACTGTTATATATGTTTTTCAAATTCGGGCAATCTAGTCCCAGACGTATAATCTAAAACTAAAAAAAAACATTTGACATTTTCAAGGCTCTTCAGTGAAACCAGGTCAGTGTTGGAAGACACTCCTTCCCTTATTCAGACTATTAAGAGTTAGACATAAAAACAGTCACGACTTGTTAGAGCGGGTTCTGACACGCCGTGCATTTTTCTCTGATGACGAGAACTCAGAGAACAATCAGACTGCAACTCATTCTGCCTGAAACACTGACAACAGTACATGGAGATCTTTCTAAACTCATTCTGCTTTCACTCAGAGAGAAACCCTACATAATATTTCAGACAGACGTTCAAACAGACCCTGGATATGTTTGAGTTATCTTAACTAACCCTAACAAACGACATCTCGCTAAGTGGTCCTACGACGCTGGTTATCAACTCAGTAAATCAACCAGGGTTTCACAAACATGGACAAGCGTTTGAATAGTAAACTATCATGTTAGACAAATATGAATACGTTCAACTTTTAACATCCATGACTTAAACACTTTATCCAGGATAAAAGCCACACAGTTGCACCTGCAAGGTGAATACAGAACAGCTGGTAAAAAAAAACTACCAAGTGTTTGAATGCATTCATTAACAGTTTTATGATATCACTGCCTGTCTACTCACAGACTCTCTTCAGATATACTCACAGACTCTCTTCAGGTGAGAAGGAAACTCTGCTAATCTCTTCCTCTTCAGTCCTGAGTCTGCCTGCATCTGATCTGAGGACGCCTTCACACCATAGACTGTATATATAAAGCTTCACACCCTCAGAAATCCAGAGAGTAAAAACACGTCAGAGTCACGTGGAAACCGGCCATACAGGTTGTAGCTGTCAGCCTGCCAGACTCTCCCTCACCTCCCTGATTCAGACTATTAAGCAGTGGCGGCCGGCCCATAGGGGCCGCCCCCCCCCCTCTTCCCACATTAAAAATTTAAATTAAAAAAAGATATATTTAAAAAATATATTTTTTATTTTTATTTTTAATAACAAGGTAAATATTATATAATTGGTATCAGTAAAATGTATAATCTACAATAAATCTCGTTTAAATTGTGTTACGATGTCTAAAGTTACTGATAAGTCGCATGTTTCCTGCCTGGCCTTGCCCGTGTATCATTACCCTCTCTCGTCTGGGCGCGAGCACAGCGCCCAGACGAGAGTGCAGCAAGTGCAGCAGAAGCCAACTGTTGCTATCTTTAAACTATGCCGCCGAAACATAATTTCAGCCAATCAGCGTCGTCAAATCTGATGGTCACAGGGCTCCTACGTCAGCGCCCGGTGCAGTCTGTGAGTTGTTTGGACTCGTTTCCAAGGAGACAAAACATACCATGTTTACCGCCCTAGTATTGTTTGGTCACCATTTCCACAGCCCAACCTAAAATATTTTCCACCAGCCGCCACTGCTATTAAGAGTTAGATAGAAACAGTCACGACTTGTTAGAGCGGGTTCTGACACGCCCGGCATTTTTCTCTGATGACGAGAACTCAGAGAACAATCAGACTGCAGCTCATTCTGCCTGAAACACTGACAACAGTACATGGAGATCTTTCTAAACCCATTCTGCTTTCACTCAGAGAGAAACCCTACATAATATTTCAGACAGATGTTTAGAATCAGCATCAAGAAACATGTGTCCTGTCCAGTGTTGGGCAAGTTAAATGTAATACAGTACATATTACTTATTACTGTCTCTTTTATGTAATAAGTTACATTACAATATTACTGTCTCTGAAATGTAATGAGTCACACTACTTTTGTCACACTACCAGCTGCTCTTGCAGTAATAAGTAGCACCTTTCTTACTGTCCTAATGTGCACAATGTAGTGACTGCTTTTTCCTCTTTTGTTTTCTTAGTTGTGTTCTCTGTATTTCATATGTCTGTGTTCTCTGTTAGAAGCCCTGAGACACAGTTTCGTGAGAAAAAAAAACGGGGGAAAAAAGCCCCTTAACAGGTTAAATGGGAATTAAATCATTTTAAGTAATTTTGAGTGTTCCCAAAGCCCTGGTGTTCTGCAGTTTGTGTGGGCCTACTGTACTGTTACACAGTTTATGCTGTATAAACTATGTCCAGGACAAGGTGTTTGGAAGTTTTGGAAGATTCATAGCTAACCACACTGAAGATTATGGAGGTATTGATCAGTCTTCTCATATTTTTAAGCCTCAATTTGTCCTTCCCCCCCCCCCCTCTAACATCACCACAAGTCATAATTTAAGGGGTCTTTTCTCAAAAAATGTTTACCGCCCTAGTATTGTTTGGTCACCATTTCCACAGCCCAACCTAAAATATTTTCCACCAGCCGCCACTGGTGAGTACCATGAATTGATGCCTCGGATATGAGTCTCTCGGCCTGGTTCTTCGGGGCACTCTACAGCTCAGTGCTGATATGGATCAGAGTCGGAGCCCCCCTTCTCCCGGTAAATTGAATTTACCCAGTGGTGTTGAACGATGATGGAGCCTCCCATCCCAAAAAAAAGCGTACCTTTCAATCGTGAGGCGTCGGGAGGTGTGAAAAGGTGCCGTAAAGAGTCGACGGTGCGGGACACACAAACCTGAGTCGGGTTGCCCGACTGCCCGGGCTGGTGTGTCCGGGCCTTCACATGTACTGGAGGGGACCCAGAATCAGACTCGGAATCAGCTGGTGAAAGTAACATTTGTTTATTAGAAAAGGGAGCTGGGAGTGGAGGTTGGTTATGGCGGCAGTGGGAAACAGTTGTTCCAGAGTGGGTAGAGAGGCCTGGCTGGTCTTGGGAGTGTGGAAGGCCTTGGATTCCTCCTGGGAGAGACATAACAATTAGTGTGAGGTAGTGATGTTACGTATTGCGCCGAGGCTTCGGAGCGTGTGTCGAGTAATCCCCGAAGCTTTTTGTGAAGCATGTATCGAGGCTTGTAACGTTTTGGGCCAGTGACGTCATCGATGACAAACGAAGCCTCGCTGCCTGTCGATACCACGTGACTGCTTCAGGAAGCGATTCAGATCGGTTGAACCGTTGAACCACAACGCTGCTCATAATACCCATCGATGTATAATAAGAACCATATTACCCCTCCTGTACCCGGGCCCGCTGGTGACACGATGGAATTAAGAGAGCTCAGACCCTCACTCATATAGAGGTCGGAACATGTCATAAGTATAAATAGATACAAGCATAAATAAATGTAGGAACATGAATAAATACAGGAATAAATACAATGGAGTGTTTTCGGGGAGATTCAGTGTGCGGGCTGTGGCTCAGCTGGAAAGCAGTTGACTCACGACCGCAGGGTCCCTGGTTCAACGACTGAACAATACGTCTTTTTTGTTGTTTATAAAAGCTACAGCTAAATGAGATAATGTAGTTAATGAATGTATTCTTTGATATGGTTTAGCCTTTCTCAGGCTACAACATGGTTACGTTTATGAATATTATTAAGGAATACAAATCCCTCTTTGCAATGTTTACCAGCCTCCTTAGGCTTTTCAATCACAATCATTCAACTGGAATAAAAACAATATTGTTAACATGAAAATATGATTTTATGTTCGTTGTTTAGAGTTATTCTAAGGCTTTACTCATTGGGAACTCGGTATGAGATACAGCACACTATTGAGATGTCCAATCTGTCTGTTTTACACACTTTGACCAACAGGGGGGTTTGTGTTCAAGTGAAGCCCATGATGAAGCCTCATGAGATGAACCCTTTTGCGAACCAATTGGCTGGAAAGCTTCAAAGCTTCATAAGGCTTCATCTCGCCATCACTAGTGTGAGGCAAAAGCAGGCAAAGTTGTCAAAGAATATGCTGGCAAAAAGCTAGAGCGGCACGCAACAATCCGGCAGGGAATGAGAGCAGGCTGCAGGCTTTCATAGTGTGGCTGATGAGCAGGTTGCAGGTGTGGTTGATTGGAGATTGCTCCCAGCCGTGTAGAGCAGACCAGCAGGCAGGGGGGGGGGGGGGGGGGGGGGAGAGAGAGAGACACACAGTAGAAACAAACACATGCAAACACTAACAGGGGTTTCAGGGACGGGCAGTGACAGTCGGTCCGTTGCTCTATATGTCTGTCTGTCTCAAATCTAAAGGGTGCAATAACGATTTGTATCCAATATGCATAAACAGCGGACACTGTTTATACGCAGCCCTCACAAACCACACACGGCCAGATAGCTTATCTAACAGTTAGAACCTACATACGAGACACAACCTTTATAGTCAGAAAAAAGTGTGATTATTTTCTGATATTTTACACATGATATTATGAATACTGTGGGCCTACATACCTTAGTGTGATTATAAGTGCATGTGAGTGAATATTGACTGCAAATTTGTTTTTATACGTCCTATTCATTGTCTCAATGCACTCATCCATCTTAAGAACGTTATCACCAAAAATGTTAAGAATGTTTTTAGAGAACGTTATCCTACCTTCCATAAAGTGAGTTTGCTGCATTTCCTCCATTTTATACCATACGATTAAACTTTATTGTCAAATCTAGACTGTAACCCTTCATCACAGCATCACAGTTCAATAAAGACAGAAGTTGTGTTAATGTGTGTTACATCTGCATGAAGGCCTCCAGCAGAGGATGCACAATGACATCTGGAAGTGTAGCGCCCCCTGCTGGCAGCAAACACACATTACAATATAATACCTGGAGCATGCAGTACCACCACACTCCACCAGAGGGCACTATGTCAACATTTACCTGTCCTCATCTCACAAAACTGAGTCTAACCTGTGATTAAGACATCTCTAAAATAACGCCTCTCCATGTGCTGATGATTCAAATGAGAAGAGGTTAATTTATTGATGATTAATGTGCTTTTAAATGAGTTAAATAAAAACAAATGTCATGAGTGTGCTGCAGAATAAATGGATTCCCCACCTGTTGAGAAGTGAATCCTTAAATCCCCTCACAGGACTCTCAGGCTGTTCAAATGAAATGTTCACTGTCACTTCTTTCCAGGCTTCATTCCCTCGAGTTCAAGGTGTTACAACACTGAGGAAGGCTATTGTATGAATTAGTAGTATTTAAATAAATAGAGTATAAAAAAGTGAAATTCTCGCCCAAAATAAACGAGTTCAAACCCCTTATTCACAAACTTCCAAGGACTTCAAGGATATGTGGGAAACATGTTTGATTCAATAAATAAATAATATTGTATAAAAAATGATGTGTGTCTGAGTGTGTGTCTGTCTCTGTGTATGTGTGTGTGTGTGTGTGTGTGTGTGTGTGTGTGTGTGTGTGTGTGTGTGTGTGTGTGTGTGTGTGTGTGTGTGTGTGTGTGTAATATAAAGCATCATTTCAGCAGGTTAATTATTAATGTCCTGCTTGTATTCAATCAAAGTATACTCTATTATGAATCATGTTGTTTTCAAACCTGTTGCTGCTCTTTTATTCTGAAAACCGCAGCCGGAAGTGATCTTGTTTACACTTTTTGTAGCACGTAAATTTAACAAAATTATCAATAAAATCTTATTTTTGTCCAATTGAATACATCCTCATTAGTATTTGTTAAATATTTTGTATAAAGGAAATAGAGTTTGTGAACTTTTCGGGAAAAAAAGACAAAAATCCCAGAAGTCTATTAGCTGTTCCTTCAAAATAAAAGAATACATAACATAAAACTAGGAATCTAGGCAGTTTAGCACTCTCTTACTGCCTGTTGTTTCCACCAGTAATGCTACTACATTATAAAAACTATTTTTGATCATAAAAACACTTAGTTTGAATGTGTAAATTGGTGTTTTAGATATCAAACCTGTTGCTGCTCTTTCATTCTGAAATCCACACCCGGAAGTTGCCTTGTTTACACACTAGCAGCTTGACATC